GTCACAAATATTTCTCAAGTAATTGTAGGCTTACAATCTTAGACCTAGGCAACGCCCTGAGGACACGGTGGAACACACTGTCGCGGAATGCCCTGCGTGGGCTGAGCACCGCCGTGTCCTCAGGAAAGTGATCGGCGATGGCGACCTCTCGCGTCCGGGCCTAGTGCAGGCCATGATGCGGAGCGAGGGGGACTGGGATGCCGTCTCCTCCTTTTGCGAAGCAGTCATGCTAGCTAAGGAGGAGGCGGGACGCGTGAGGCAGCGAAGCGCTGCCTCCTCGCAACCCAGCCATCGCGAAGGACACACCGGGCGTCGGGGATCGCGGGACGATCTCCGGCCACCGTAAGCGCGGGCCTGCGGACGGCGAGCATGGGTGGCTCCCCGTCCGACCAGAAACAGACCCGAGCGTACGGCGCGTCGCGTTCCGCGCGCGCCTCAAAGAGCCATCAGACCACCACAGATGGGGCCCAATAGGGCCGATGCCGATTCGGAGTCGCGGAGAACCTAACGGGTAACCGGGGCTCCGGCTCGACGTGCAGGAGAAGGAACGGGGTGGTTTTTAGTCAGTAAGAGTCTGACACTCCCTCCCGCCTCACCCAGGCGGGAGCAGTCATTCGATGATTTTCCCCCCTTAAAAAAAAAAGACCTAGGCAACCAATCTTCAACGGTCATATGATATGTATAAGTTAATATCATATGAATGAAAGCTTTGGTACATAGGCCCTAATATATATTTCAATAGGTATTACTTATTACCTTGCCGAGGAAACTCGGCAAATTGAATTTGTTATCACAAGGGAACAATCAATCATCTTACCTTATATCCATTTGGTTGGATGACATATAATATATTAGTATTTGAGTTCTAATAGCTCTCTGGTAGACAGAATCATATATTGGGTCTATAATACTTTGTGTTAATGGAAGATATCTCTAAGAAATGACGTACTCCTATTACAAATGCCAGTAAGGCACTTGTATCTCCTTCAATGTAGCTGGTATGTATAGGCGACTCTGATAGCTAACTGATAGCGAACAAACTAGTGAACGAATCGCCTGATAACTATCAGAGTGATATGTTCTCACATATCACATAACATCACGCCTTCCATCCTCGAAGGGGTAGTTAAATTACAGATAAAATACAGTAACACCCACTTTTCACTATTCATGTTATGAGTCCCATGTAATAGGGGGTGAACCCATTGCCATATACCGGGCACAGTTCCAAACTCTGTGCTACTACTGACAATTTTTAAAAAAAACCCAATAATACTTCGCCCGATCCGGGAATCGAAGCCGAGACCCCTTGCCCGGCAGTCGCAATTGCGACCAATCGACCAACGAGGCAGTAGTTTGTTCTTGTCTTATAATAAAGCTAGCAAATGATCCTCACAAATGATGACCGTTTTTAATCACAGCCGTCAAAGCCACCATCTTCGTGTTAAACTTAAGAAAAATGGAGCTTACTTTCTTCCATTCATCAGCAGCTAAACACAACCAATTAAAAGTGAATTATCCCCACGAGCAGCGCACAGTAATCATCCCGAAAAGCCGCGAAACCTTGAACTTTGACTAAGACAACTTTATGCCAACTTACAACCTCACCCCAACACTCCAATCAAACAATAATAAACTTTATTTTTTACGACACAAGATCGGCAGTAACTGCAGAAACAACACAACGTTTGTTATAGATCAACAACCTTTGTGTTGCGTGCTGATCAATATGAAATATGACTTATGTGATTGTAATAAAGGTGTTGGTGTATGTATTTGATTTGTGCTGAAAAGTTCAATGGCTTGAGTAAAAAAGTAGTATGGCATACCGTGGGTTCCGACACGCAAGTTATTGCGACTTGTATTGTTTCGATTTATATATTTTTTATTATTTATTGATACCGATTTAGTTCTACTACTGAATACAGTTTTAGTGTGTGAATATGTGTTTATGTTCGCTTTAGATAGAGATTCTTGATGTATTGATCTAAGTTACCTTTTTTTTAAAGGGGAGAAAATCATCGAATGATTGCTCCCGCCTGGGTGAGGCGGGAGGGAGAGTCATACTCTTACTGACTAAAAACCACCCCGTTCCTTCTCTTGCACGTCGAGCCGGAGCCCCGGTTACCCGTTAGGTTCTCCGCGACTCCGAGTTACCTTAGCACTTTACTGTCTCGTCGGTCTAGAGTGTGAAAAGTCACTACCGAGAATGGGGGTCTTAGGTTAGATTTCTGAGTCGGAAAAATGTACGTAAGGCTTTGATCATCATCAACAAACAGCTTATAAGTGACTACTGCTGACCAAAAGCCTTTTCTCACACCGAGAAGGTTTGATCAATAATCACCACGCTTCCTCAATGGGGGTCGGCGATTTCAAACTTATAGTTATAAATTATAAGCTCAGGTTTCTTCACGATTTGGTCCTTCCTCGTTTGTCAGTGGTGTCTAAATAATCTTAGAAAGTACATATAACTCGGAAAAAGTCACATTGGTACTTGCTGTTGGTAGGTTTCGATCTCGCACCCTCATGAGAAGTGGGCGTCTTTAACTCCATTACGACATAGGACAAGGCATTTATCGGTGTTCCGAATATATATCCTTAGCCTTGAGTCCAGAATTAATCAATTACATTGTACAGTGGCATTAAGTACCGTAACGTACACCTCTGCCTACCCCTTCGGGGATAAAAGGCGTGATGTTGTGTTATGTTGGAGTCTGGAATCTGGTATATAATGCCCAGTACATCTATTACATGGGGCTAGTCAGAAATCTTACAAAACGTAGGCGGATAAATACACCACACAAGCGTTACCATATTACCTACACATTATACCTGGGTGTACCTAGTCAGTCATTAATTGGAAAAAAAGAACTGGAATAACTAGACCATGGGTATCAAAGTCGTTCAAACCTGAGTTTGTATGAAACACGTTTTTTGCACTGTGGTTTATAAATCAAGTTGATTGGTCTTAAAACGGAAATGTCTGGGTTTGAAGCCAGAGTAAGGTACGTCTCAATTAACAATTGCTGCTGACTGGTATTAGGGGAGATCGTAATGATACATTGTCTGATTGCTTCTATTAAATGTTTTAAAGTTCAAAGTCAAGGGTTTTACAATGAAATGTGACGGTTGTTTAACAGACTGCAAAAATGAAGAAGGTTCTCAGTTGCCCTGTATGTATTTTTGTGCGTAAACAAAAAGTATATAGCTATGTTCTCCGCGGCTTCGTATCGGCATCGGCCCTGTTGGGCCCCATCCGTGGTGGTCTGATGGCTTTATGAGGCGCGCAAGGAACGCGACGCGCTATACGCTCGGGGTTTATTACACCTAGGAAAAGGTTTTAGTACTTATATGAACTTACCGACTCCAAAAAGAGGGGGTTAAAATCGGTATTTTTAAACGTAGTTTATCAAAGAATTATTATTGTCAGTTCTGCTAAACAACCCTTTCCTAAGTATAGTATATATTATTATATAAATATAAATATAAGACGTGGGTAATATTTTTAAACGTAGAAATACTAAAGATAATCGTAAAAATATCGAGAATTCTCGCCAAAACCCAGCCTTCAGAGTTCAGTATCTATCTTCTAATAACTACTTGAATTCAGAAAAAAGGCACTATGCCTAATATAAAAACAAAGAACCGACTAATGGAATATAATTTGTCATTTAAACCTTCCTAGCGTCCATCAAGTAGTATAAAATATTCAAGCACCAATTATTACAGGATCCGGTTATTTTCAGAAGGTCGAAGGTCGTAATTTCAGTTCTTGGAAGGACCTCTTGAAGCTTTCAACACGTATTTGTAAATGGTTCCTGAAATATGAGAGTGGAGCCTTCGATTTTTTTGGTCAGAATTGGATTAAACTTCCATCTTCATTTAAGAGCTTTCAGCCTATGAAGAAATAAATCTGTGAATAATGTTACGTAATGTTACGATGTAATTCCCTCTAAGGGGGTAGACAAAGAGTAACACTGGTCAACATAGGTATAAAAATATCTTAATTAAGCGACAAGATCTTAAAAATAATATGCCTATATTAGGAATATTCTTGTGTCACAGGCGATACTAACTCTAAAAATATGTTAATGATAAGACAACTTATTTATATGTAGTATATTTAACACAATTTTCAGAAGCAAGGTAGGATTGTTTATTATACTACATACATACATATAATAACATCAGGCCTTTTATTCCCTGAAGGAGAATAAAAAAATATACCTATATAATTTTTTTTTTTTTTAAGGGGGGAAAATCATCGAATGACTGCTCCCGCCTGGGTGAGGCGGGAGGGAGTGTCAGACTCTTACTGACTAAAAACCACCCCGTTCCTTCTCCTGCACGTCGAGCCGGAGCCCCGGTTACCCGTTAGGTTCTCCGCGACATACCTACATAATACATTCATATAAAATTAATTAAACAAACAAAAGTAGACACTTATGAAAGTGCATCGCCATAAATCTTAGCTTACCACGCTGTTTTGTGCCTCGAAAATCTCTATACCTTACTGCTTGACCGACATAGGGATCAAAATTAAAAAGATTCGGCTGCTGCTTGCAACCAAATGACCAGCATTTTTTCATGCTTAACATATTATGGTAGTAGCACATGTAAAAATGTACCCATAAAACTACAAATCGTAAAGCCATATGTTCTATTTCCCATTATTTTTCTTTCCAAACTAATTAATGTTTCCTTTTTACAGGTCTTGTCGGGGCGGCCGGTTACCATGGCAACGGCTACTGAAACAAACCCCTGAAACCAAAGGGTGAGTTCGACCTAACCTACATAAATAATGACGAGGTTGAAGGTGAAAACCACCCGGAAATGGAATTTAAAAAACTGAAACTTGGTAATAGTCGTTGTAAAACTTTTGAAGGATAATTTCTTCGTTGATTGAAATCGATGTTTATTTTACTTGGAGTAGTTTATCAGTATCATATGTACCAAAATATGTATCCGTGGTCTCGTTCAAGGACGCCACTGATCACTTACCATCAAGCGATCTGTCTGCTTGTTAACCCTTGTCCAACCCAAATAGAAATGAAAATGATATACAGAGGAAAGATGAAACACAATTTCTAGTTTTATTGACATCAAACTTATTTTGTTTACCAAAAAATCCGATAATATCACTGGTGCGTTTTGTAAACTCTTAAAACAACGAACAGCTAACATATCAATCAAGCCAAAAATATGTAATAGATACCTATTCATTTAGCAGACATTGCTGTATGTTCTAGACAACTCAATAGTCTTAGACAGAGTGTGGGATGATAATCAAGTGAAATCAAAATACAATCTACATTATACCACCCACGCTCAATTCAATTGCAAAATTGCATCAGTTTTGCACACTTACCTATGTTAAATATTTCAAAATAAGAGCTTGAGATGTATTGCATCGACTGCATGGTTGGTGCGGTGGGTGGGTTGGCTGCCGCGCAACGTGGCGCGGTTTCGATTCCCGCATGGATCACCACAGATCCTGGGTCTGGGTGTCATGTGTATGTGAACTTGTATGTTTGTAAACGCACCCACGATACAGGGGAAAATCCTAGTGTAAGGCAAAGTTTAAAAATAATTATTATTTAGCTACGAATGAAAGCTCTTTCAATAGTCAAAAATGAGCCTTATTATAAAAAGTTTTGATATGGGATAAGCCTGTAAACGAGCAGACGGATCACCTGATTATAAGTATACGGCGTCGCCCATGGACACCTGGAACACCAGAGGCGTTACAAGTGCGTTACCGGGCTTTTGGGAATTAGAAATTGGGCCTCCGATAACCTCACTCACACGACGAAACATAACGCCAGCATTGTTACTTAGTTTTGCTCATATTATTATGCAAAGCCTTTTTAACTAAAGCCTGGCTACCCTTTATGCTTCATCATTACCATGTCAACCAAAAGACGTCCGTGGCTGAACATATTGACCAGCTCGAACCGACCATGGAGGTCCTACTTTATGTTCAACTGAGTTCTCCTGTGGAGTTGGCTTGGTGACAAGTAGGTGATTTTAATATACCCCAACTCCATCCCACTATGTGTTGATGGGAATTTCGGCTCTTCTGAATTACGTTTACAGATACACGTGGTTATATAAGTACTTTCTTCACATCTCTCTTTTCAAAAGAAAATCTAAGGAAAATATTGTTATTTTCTACAGATCTTTGTCGACTTTACCTTACCAATGAAAGAGATAAAATTCTATACATTTACATCGTTCTTCTCGCCACGTTTTCTTATATTTAAAGAGCATTAATTCAAAAGACTTGCAAAGTGGAATAAACTGAATACATTTCATAGACAATTTGAAATTCAAAATGGCGAATGTCAATATAAGATTAAGCAAATTGAGACAGTTATTGGAATTGTGATTTGTTTGAGTTTATAGAGGTACACTTAGGAGATAATGATTTGTGTTTCTGATATTAGGAGATTGAGTGGCAATTTATTGTGATGTTTATTATTCGTGTTATAATGAGGTTGGATGTTTCACCCATTCAATTTTTTAATTCCGTGATACTACTGATGTTTATTGTGAACAATGCGCCAATATACTGACGTCAAAGTACTGGAACTTAACGTATTGTTCTGGTACTTATAATTGAGCTGATAACAGTATGTTGAGTAGTTAAATTCGATACACAAAAAAGTAATTGAAAAGTCTATTCTAATTAAACTGTCAAACACCGCGAGGACACCGGTGACCGCAACCTATTGTTCTTCAATTGTGTCTATAATGACGGTACTCAACGAGTTAAATCAATCTAATTCTAATGATATTAATATACTTACATAATGAGCACCAATCAGTGTGGTATTAACAAGAGGGTACAGGCAGCAAGAAACAAAATATGCTATTGTTATGTATACTTAAAATCTGAAGGAAGGAATGGCAAGGACCATGTGATGAAAAATATTAGGTACAAAAACAGAACACCTCCCATTTTGCCATTATGTTCTAGATACATATGTAATTATTACGTTTTGACCATCTCCCCACACTTGTGGCAATAGACCTCATAACAGATAGTATCGACACACATACACACACACATTCAGCTCAAACAGGGTCGCGTCCTAGCAATGCCGTTCACACAACTGAACAAACAGTAATTTCCAACTGTAACATTGGAATTTTCGTGAATTATTGTGAAAATATGACTGTAATATTATGAAATAAGTACAATTATGTTTATATGCAAGAACTGTCTTTGGCTATACTGCCTCATTGGTCGAGTAGTCGCGAGTGCGACTGCCGGGCAAGGGGTCTCGGGTTCGATTCCCGGGTCGGGCAAGTATTACAGGGTTTTTAAAAATCTCAGTAGTAGCACGGAGTCTGGAATTGTGCCCGGTATATGGCAATAGGCTCACCCCCTATTACATGGGACTCATAACATAAATAGTAAAAAGTGGGTGTTACATTGTACAGTGGCATTCAATTCCGAAATGTGCACCTCTGCCTACTCCTTCAGGGATAAAAAGACATGATGTTATGTTATGTCTTTGGCTATATTAATTTACAGAAAAACGTGTATACTATACACTAATTTGGTAGCAGTATCACCTTAAGTAGGATGAGGCAGTCGTTCCACCTAAAATACTGATATAATCAGTAAAGTCTGAAAACTAATTGCGAAAAACACCAAGCGAAAGATCGTATACTGTGTGTGTACCAAAGACGTTGAAAAAATGGCAGACACAGTATCTTGAACTAACGACTGTTTCACCTGCCTACTATACACATACACGCAGAACATAAACACATCGACGACGTGGAAACCCATTACACACGCACACATAAAATAAGTGTGGGATAGCCATGCTTCGGCACGAATGGGCCGGCTCGACCGGAGTCATACCACGACCTCACAGAAAACCGACGTGAAACAACGCTTGCGTTGTGTTTCGTCATGTGAGTGATGTTACCGGAGGCCCAATTACCCTCCTCTTCCCCAATCTCCCCAATCCCTGAATCCCAATGATCCTCAAACTCTCAATTCCCAAAAGGCCGGTAACGCACTTGTAACGCCTCTGGTGTTCCACGGGCGACGCCGATTGCTTACCATCAGGTGATTCGTCAGCTCGTTTACCGGCTTATGTCATAAAAAAAAACAAAATAACCCACTGACATTTTGGTGCTTCAATTATTTCTAAGTGACATTATGTCACCTTTATTTTGAACGTCCTTGAAGTCTACTATATTGTCTTCTCTACCTATTATTTTTATAAATAAGTAGTAGCTCTATTAATTATTTTGCCCTTCAAAATTTACAAGGACGTTAATCCTCTTAGCTCAGTCCTCAGGTGTTCTTCCATCGATTCTTTCAACCGACACAATTGATGGACCCATTAGGAATCTTATAAATGTACAATTTAATTGTTTTCTGTCAAATGCTTTATTAAATTGGTAATTTGTCTTTGTAAACTGATTGTTTTGGTGAAACCTCTGAAGAATATTCCCTCTAATTGATAACGTTTCCTTGGAGATATTTGGAGCTCCAATTTCCAATTAGTGGTCGAGTGCTTGTAGCCTGTATAAGTACCTATTCAGAAATGATATGGGATTTTCTATAATTATTTGCTTTTTGTAAGTGATTAGCTGGATTTTGTTGGTTAGTTTTTATGATAAAACTACTGCAGAGATTAAAATGTCCAAAGGCCTTATTCATTGGCAATTAGATTGTCATCTATGAAGGTAACTTCATCTTAGGTAAATAAATAATGAGACGTTGATAGGATTCTTGCGTGGCTATTCATTAGAATTGTCATTCATAAGACTAATAATATTTGCACTCTCTGAAACTTGATCTATTATCGAACACTAAAGGGAATATCTTATACGGAATATCTTATAAAGCGGAAAAGTTTGATTTTTTGTTTGTTTGTTTGAACGCGCTAATCTCCGTAACTACAAGTCTGATTTGAATAATTCTTTTTGTGTTGGATAGTGCATTTATCTAGGATGGCTAATGGCTATAGGCTATAAAACATCACGCTACGACCAATAGGAGCAGCAGTGTGAAACCGCACGGAAGTAGCTAGTTTCATGATATTTTCACTTACAACTCACACTTTTCACGCAAATAACCCCTTTATTATGCATAATGAAGAATCGTCCCAACCTTACATTATCCATAACAAAGGAGACACAGACGATCAACATTCAAAAATCAAGAACGGCAATTTTGAAACCTTTCTCCAATTTTGTGTCTCAAATCACCGGTCTCAGATTGACAATAAAAGGTAATACTGTATGATCAACAATGATGATCAACAATGATAATGGTCGCCGGCCTAGTTTACACGACATGAGGCAATGTAATAATTGTCTGCCAACGAAACTTTTGGGTTTAAAGTTTTATGTATGTTTTACATTGTTGGCTATGTGATGTATGTATTACATTCAGTGTGGTTGAAGTTTAGGTGTTGAATAATTCTGTTTGATATTGACTGAATATTCTGTACAGATGTTCTGGGAATGAAAGGTTAATCTATGATGGTATGGTTATTATTATTATTTTTTAATGGTCCACTCTAGGATTTTCTCCTGTTTCGTAGGTGCGTTTACAAACATGCAAGGTCTCATACACTTAAGAAGACTTAACGGGTTGCCGGAGCTCCGGCTCGAAGTACAGGAGTAGGAACGAGATGGTTTTTAGTCAGTAAGAGTCTGACACTCCCTCTCGCATCACCCGGGCGGGAGGAGTCATTGGATGATTTTAACCCTCAAAAAGAACAAAAAAGACCCGAAACAACA